GCTGAAATGTTAGTGCTAATGAAGAAAGTTGCTGTAGGGAAGGGGAAGAGGAAGAACAAGAGCAAAGGGTAATAGGAAAAAGGAAGAGGAGGCTAAAATGATCTCTGAGTCTCTGGTTTTTAGTCTTTTCCGGGTTACAAGTAATAATAATCTACATGTACAAGTCTGCTAAAACGTGTTTCTATAATGCTGGAAGAACATAAGGGGGTTTTGGTAGGTGGCTGAATAGCTGAGCTGCTGCTGAATTTTTATGCTGTTGAGTTTGAATTGTTAAAGCTGTCTGGAGACTCCCTAGTGCTTTGGATAGGTGCCTTTTGAGTTAGTATAATTTAGACTGAAATACATGAGCTTCCACTGAATCTATATTAAGACTACATTTAAAAAAAATTAGTGCCTTCTGGATTACTGATAGCCCCTTTGATTATTCGAAGTGAGGCAAATTTTAAAAATCAAATTAATTCTCACTTTGTTGTCCAATTAACAAAGTGTCTGTCTAATTCCCACAACAAAATAGACTAGTTGATCTCAACTGTGTTTTTTTTTTTTTACTGTCTGGTTCTTGTTTATTTGGGCTAAACAAGTCTCATATTTGAGCTACACACAATAGGAGGGTTTTATTTATTTAAAGTAAAATCCTCTTTATTGTAAGTTTTAATAATGTCTCGTTTTGATATAGCTTAAGTTCTGGACACATTTATTCTGGCAATATCTCTTAAAGGGAGGCGCAATTGTATTTTTTTTAAGTTACTGTAAGGCCCAGTGCTTACCAGGTGTCTGAACCATGCAGATCTGTATCTTAAAGCATCTTGTTTGTGTTTAATTCCAAAGAGCTCAGGTAAGAGTAATCACCAGTAAACTGTTAATTCAGGTTTATCGTGTCTGTATGGTAAACTTGCCATGCTCAGCAGCAGAGGTCCTTAAGCATGCCATACTGAGTTGGGCAGGATATTTCCTAAACCATAGCTTTAGTGGGGCTAATTACCATATTTACTCTAATGTAAGACAACCCTGCATTTAAGATGATCCCCCCCCATCATTACATTTTATATATGGAAAATGTATACATTTGTTATAATTTGCCATGAATAGAATATAATTATTGGAAGGTCATCTTTAATTCTTTAATTAAATTTTAATTTGCAGGTGGGGCAGGTGGTGTGGGGAGGTCAAGCAGCCTTCCCCCTGCTTGTGCCTGCCTCCCTGAAACCTCTGCTTCTCCACTTCCCTGCCTAGTCTCTGTGCCCCCCACTCCTTCCTCCCCCCCAGCTTCTGCTTTGCCCCACAAACTCCATCTCTATTCTAGCCTGAGCGTGGCCCATCCCAACCTCTGCTGCGGCTGTGTAGGCTGTGCACTGCTGCTATAGGCCAGCCTACCGTGTGGACAGACATTGCTGGCACAAAACAAAGGTGTTGGGGGGAGTGTAGGCAGGGGAGCAGATTCTGGGTGGCGGGTAGATGAGGAAAAGAGGCTGCAGGGGGGAGATGGAAGGGTGCAGAAGCACTGGGGGCGAGGGGGAAATGAAGAGAAAGCAGCTGCAGCTATGGCCCCAACCCTGGGTTAGGGGCTAGAGCCCAAGCCACAGCAGTCATCTGCCCCCCGCACTGCCCTTGTACTTGAGTCTAGGACAAGGGGCTTTTTTCAACTGTTGAACTGGGGGGAGTCTCCTTTTAGAATCAAGTAAATACGGTAGTGTCTGTCAGGCCAGGCCTCTCTTGGTCTGCTATCTGGTACTTCGTAAACCAGTACAGACTGTTCCATGGTTGGGTTGTCTGTGATTAAACGGGTGCCCCCACCTGGGCTAGCCTGGGTGAGGAGGGTGTGTGGACACCTAGCAGAACTAAAAACAAGACCTGTCAAAGGGCGGATGAGCTCCCTGCGAGCCAATGGCCATCCATACCTGGAGAGGAGATGGCCGCCACCAAGTCACTCTGCCCAAAGGATCACCAGTGATGCAAAGCAACTCAACTAACCTCAGCCAAATGCTGGGCAGAGTAGAGGAGGGTTGTTACAGCATCTAAGATGCTCTAGTGGTCGCAGCAGCCTCAGAACTGACTGATTGAAATACAGTAGCACTGTTGAATAACATGGCCAATTAGCTTGCCATAAGCTTACGTGGTACTCTGTGGATGTGGCTATACACTTCTAACTTAAGTGGCAACTAGTCTAGGCAGCATGAGGTGCTTGACGTTGCCACCATTAAACCTGGCCTCGACTATCTTAAGGATGTTTCCTTATGGTGTTGTCATGTGTTGCTTGAGCAGCTACAGAAAATTATAGTCCAAATGGACTTGTCCTAAGCATGTGCCACCCCATTTGACAGTGAAGTTGCATCTTCTGACGTTACCACCTGCACAACTAAGTCAGAGGAAAATGTGTTTGCTTTGCTGTGTCTACTCCTGAACCTCATAGTAGCATGTGGGAGCTGTTGGCAGCCCAGTGTACATTAGAGCAGTCCAGAGGTTGCTGCAGTTTACACTACAGGCTGGAGAAGACCTATGTAGCTTGAGAATGGGGAGGTGAAAAGGACCTCTTTCAGCTCCTGCGGCAATCAGAACTGGCAGTTTGGTAAATGATTTGAAATAGTCTTTTCCTTTGTCAGGAATAAACTTTCATATGTGGTAGGATCACTTACAGAATAGTGTGTTATAGTGATATGTTAATAGAAGAGCTAAAAGTCAACAAAATGTTCTGTCTCTGACCCATAAGGAACTATAATCATAGGAAACTAAAACGTTCATCTTATGTGGCATTCTCTACATCGACATCTGAATTGTGTAAAATTAAAAGAACCTAAAGGCTTTAATAGTTATAATATTCCTATCTCCATGTGTTAACAAATAAGAAGATGAGACCAGAAATCCCCAGCTGAGGTTATAAACATCATGAGATGTATTTAAAACAAACCTCATGGTTCTCCCTACCTTTTGTTGAAGTGCTTTTTACAAGAAGTGTTAATGAGTGCCACACTTTCCCTGTCCTGTACTTGGTGTTGTTTTTCACATCTCTGCAAAGTACTTCTAAAGTGTTACTGAGTCTAAGGAGTAGTAGTATTTTACACCTGTTTTATCTGGTGTATGTGCTGACAGATGTAGTGCACTTGATATTCAAAAAAAAGTACTAGGACGTTCCCTCTCAGAGTTACTTATTCCAGGCAGAGTGATTCTTTCTTCTCCCCTTCTCCTGAGGTGGAGTGTGAGTAGGACTTCTGTGTCATCCTGTTACTTGAGGGAGTGCAGTCCTACACATCTCTGTCAGCATTAACAGATGGTAATCTGAGTGATCATATTTTTCTCTCATCCATTGCAAAAGTTATGTTTATCTAGTGCTGCTCTTTATGTCGGTTTCCAAACCCATGTCTTCCACTTCTCCATAAAATCCAACTCCTCCCTACCTGGGAGAAAATGCAGAGGAAGCTGCAGGAACCCCACAGAATTTCCACTTGCTTTAGTGCACATTTTTGGTTTGTTGGCATTCTGGTTTTGTTCCTTTCTTTCTTCAGGAGGCCCTAGTGCTTTTGCAAGCTAGATAGGAGTACCTTGATTTTCCTCTCTCAAAACAAAATAATTGCATTTTTTGGGACGGATCATCCTAAAACACACTTTTGTTTTACTTAAATTAAATGTGTCGCACTATAAGATCAGATGCTTTAAAATGATTTACAGTGCTATACTTTGCCAGGAGAATAATAAACTCTTTTGATCCAAAGCATTGAAAAGGTTAGCTGGAGAAATAGTGGATTTCCATCCAAAATAAGGCAGACTATTTCTTCTTAATCTGGTGCAGGAAAGATGTAGAAATATTGCTCAAGACAGAAGAACTCATAGTATTAGCAGAGGCTTTGGAAACTTTTATTCAATTAATTCCATCTAATATGAGCAGTGCCACTGAAGTCAATACAGCTATTTGTAACAGTAAGAATTATTCATATGAAGATGGGATGGAGGATTAGACACCTTGATAAGGTCCTGTAGGGTCTGAAAACTTGTTTGCTAGAGTTTCTTTAATATAATGAGATATATAATGAGACCATAGAGATCTTTAACCTGAGCAATGGCTGTAATTTCCAAAAGGGGTAATCAGTATGGGCCAAATCCTGTTCTGTGTATTAAGCTCCTAGGTGGGCTTGGGTACCAAAGTTGCAACCCTCCATCTTAGCTTTAAATCACAAAATGCAAGAGGAGGGCCTATCTACCTTTTGCTTTAACTGGTTTTCAGGGACTTGGGTGGGGTGGAATAGGATTGGACAAAAGCATCTATGGGCATTTTTTACATGTGCTCCTGACACAGTGCCGGGTGCTTTTAGTTAGCAAGCTGCACTAATTAAAGTGCCTGGCGCTGCATTGGGAGCACTGTATCAGTGACGCAGTGCACCTCTGCACTGAAAAATGACAGTAGTGCCCTTTGAACTAAAGCACATCAAATGTGTTTTAGTTCAAAGTGCACCGCTTCCATTTTCTCAGTGCAGAGGTGTGCTGCACCACTGATACACGTGACGTGCAAGGCTGCCAGAGCGCGTCAATTGACGTGCTTCAGCAGATTTGATCAAGTCTGCTCTGACACACTGGATTTCCAGCGTGTCGGAGCAGGCTCCTTGCATGTGTGTAAGTGCCCTAAGTAGAGTAAGGTCTGACCCCATGTTACTACTCCTGCATCTGTCACCTAGGTCTGTCAGATCAACAAATGTGTTTTGTAGTTAAGGTTCCACCTGAAAAAGTCAGTAAAAAAGTGGCCAATATTCTATGTGCTTTTCATTTCAGATGGCGAAAAAGTAAAAGCTGAAATGAAACCTCATCAAGGTATTTGGCTTTTTAGAAGCTTGCTAGCAACTTGTCCCTATCACCATCACTGCTATGCTCCTTCTCCCCTTGTTAAAAGGGTAGGTCAGATGATGGAACAATACAGTGTGAAGAACAATTATTTCCTGAATACAGTTAAATCTGCTCTGCCCCATCATGCCTGGCCAAGGAAATACCATCAGGATTCTAGAGCCGTGTGGAAGCATGAAGCTGTGCAAAAATACCTAGAGACTGTTATAAGAGAATACCAACGAATAAGCCATGTGTTGAGCAGTGTCTCAACGAATGAGCATGAGCAAAGGATCCTTAGCAGAAGACATGCTGATCTAGTTCCACTTGCAGCTGTTTTTCAAGAAATACAAAAAGCAGAAAAAGAAGTTAAAGAGTTAGAATCCATGTGTACAGGTAAGATGGAGATATACATATTTTTTTTTTTTTTTTTTTTTTGTGGGGAAGGTGGGTAGGAACACAAAACAACAAAAAGTTCTGATGATACCAATATCAATTTAAATCAGGAATAGGAAGGAATGTGAGGGAAGAAGAAAAGTAAAACTAGGTATTTGCTCAACACTTGCAAGTGGCAAGTTCAAAGCAGATCCTGCAAAGCAGTGTACCAAGTAGGAAGGGAAGAGTATCAGCCACTCAAATACACTGGTGGATGGCAAATTAGTGGAGACAATGAGATACAGAACTAGGAGGATTTACAGAAAAGAAGTGGAGCAAAGGGAAAAAAATAAAGACGGCCAACAGAGTATATGGAAGAATGAAAAGATATGTTACAGAGACAAATGGAGGAAACGGGTTAAAATTAAACATAAAACTGATCAAAAAGCTACCAACTTTTTATGAGAATTTTGATTCTGTAGGTTCAGGAACATAATTTTATTTTTTTCAGATGGGGGTAGGGATTGTAATTTTTAGCTTCTGAATTTTCCAACCTTTCCTTTCCCTTCTTCAGTTTTGCCACTGGTAAAGGGAGGAAAGAGGGAAAAGAGAATAGAGGAGAAGAACCATGGAAAACTCAAACAGATTTCTTTTGTTGTGGGATAAGCTAGAAAATATTACATAAAATATTAATGTTTATTTTTTTAAAAGGTTTGCCTTGTAATGGGCCAAAAAGTGAAAAATTGTATGAACAGGTCCATGCAATAGTAGCATAGAGCTATAGCATAGACCAGGCTTGTTCAACAGGTGGCCCACGGTGCTGCAACGGAAAACGAAAGTAAACAGCGTTTACAAACCCCTTGTCCCTCCCTCAGCCCCTCAGCAGCTTCCTAATGGCTGCTGAAGGGCTGGGGAAGGGACAAGGTTCCCACATGCACCTTTTCAGCTTGACGTTGCCGACACAGTGCGGCTCCACCCCTCCCCCCTCATTTCACAGTGTCCCTTCCTCACCCCACCCCTCCCTTCCTCATTCATTTGCATGCCAGCTCTTCCCCTCTCCCACATTGCAGGGTTTCCATTCCTAGCCCCGCCCCTCCCTTCCTCATTTGCATGCCGGTCCTGCCCTGCGCCGGTCCCTGCCCGCTGTGTGGGCTGGAGAAGGTCGCAGTGTAGGGAGTACGGATACTGGCTCGGAGGGATGCTGCAGCCGGGCCTGTGGGAGATGCTGCTGCTGCTATGGCTGTCGGGGGTGGGAAGCTAGCGCTGCTCCCGCCTCCCCGCATCCCCCACCCCCCTGTAGAGTCCCCACATGTCCCCCGGCTTCTGAGCCCAAGTGCGCAGGTGTGGGAGCATCCTCGAGGCTGCCCAGGTGGCAGGGAGGACATGGCGGGGTCAGGCGGCACCCCTTGACTCCTGTGCCCCCAGGCTGCGGCCAGACTGGACAGGCCGTGTGAGTGCCCGCTCCTGCCGGCCCACTCGGTGATAAAAAGTTCATGATCTGGCCCCACATTCAAAATGGTTGGACACCCCTGGCATAGACAATAAATTATACATGGAAAAAGAGAAAGAAAAGAGATTAATGGAGGATGACATGGGCAGTAAAAGTTAGTGAATTTAATGTAATTTAGAGCACAGTTATACTGTATCTATATCATGGAGTACATAGTTTTCTCCTTCATATAGCTGTACTATGTTATCTGTTTAGGTGCTGATATAACTTGGGCCATCATGGTGTCTTAAATTATTAATGTTTTTTAGTGAATTTTATCCTGGCAACACTTTGTGAGGTTTTCCCAATTACAGATGTGAACTGAAACACAGAGTAGATGAAGTGACTTGACTAAAACCAAGTCTGGCTGAGGTAGGAAGTGAACCTTGAATTCCTTAATCCTAGGCTAGGGACCTCTGTCTATTCTTTCATTAGACCAATGGTTCTCAACCCGCGGCCTGTTTGCTGCATGAGATCCATGTGACATCCTGTTAAATGGATACCCAGGAAGTAAGTTGTGTGGGTACGGCCCACATAACACATTTAGAGCTACAAGTGTGCCCTGCTATAGAAAATGGGTTGAGAACCACTGCATTGGACCATTCTTTCAACTTGTGTGGTATAATTTCATTTGGAGGATTAGTTACAACTTAACTGTATTTCCGAGCCATGCTAAAATCTTAGACTTAGTGTTTTCTCTAGATCAAGGTTGAAGCATATTGGTAGAGGAACTTATACTGCTAGTGCTTTTACTATGGCAAACAAGAGAACGTCAGTCTCTGATTGTTGATCCATCATCTTTAGAAAGAAATAAAATTATTTAAAAACAATAAATAAATAAAGCCCTGGTGTAAGAGCATACCCTCTCAATGACAATAAAGGAGGCTATTTCAATATCCCTGCCCTTTTGGTCCTTGGATTTGCTGATAAGCAGGGATCCCAGTCTTCCGTTTTCCACGGAAAAACAGAGAAAACCACGGATTTCCCCTTTTTATCAGAGAAAACACGGATTTCTCCTTTTAGCAGAGAAAGCCATGGATTCCCTGCTTTTGCAAACAGTTCTGCAGACTGGTTGAGCTCCAGCCTGTGAGAGCTGTTTGCAAACAGGGTGGGAAACTGCCAGCCCTGCCTGGATGGGAAGGGCAGGGCCTGAAGCTCTCACTCAGCTACAGCTCCGCTCAGCTCAGCTTCACTCTTTGTTGCTGGAGCCTGAGGTAAGTGGGACATGCAGGGGGCTGGGGGCCCCTCTGGCAGGGCTGGGGATTGCGGGTCATGGCTGGGGGCACTGGCAGGGCTGGGGGGAGCCAGGAGCTGGCCCTGCCCCTGCCCGAGCAGGTAGCAGCAGTGGGGGAGCCGGCTCCATGCTGCTTCTGCTGCAGCTGCCTGCTGTTGGGGGCAGGGAGCTGCAGACTTGAGTCCCTGGCCCCATAGCCCTGGCAGCTGGGGGCCCCATCCAGCAGGGTCAGGGGACAGGGGCTGTGGGTGGGGGCAAGAGGCATGAGTATGGCAGGGGGCTGTTTTGGGGGCAGTGAGGGGCACCAGCAGGGCTGGGAGGTCACTGGGGATAGAGTAAGGGGCCCCAGCAGGGCTAGGGGGGCTTTTAATTTTAATAATGGATTTCTGTGTTTTTGTCAGAGAATTTGTGATTTTTCTCTGATTAAAAAAAACAAACAAAAAAACCCCAGGATCCCTGCTGATAAGGCTGCCAACAAGTGTGCTAATTAGCATGAACATTTAGGAACTAGAGCATTTAGGAACTAGAGCAGATCTGAGTTTTTGGGCAGTGCCAAAAACACCCACAACCTCAACTTGTAAGATGTTAGTGTGCCAGGAGTGGACAGAGGGGGAGCCGTGAGGGGTCTGATCCTTGTTGCGGCAGTGCAGCCCTGGCCCTTCCCCACTGTCCACCCCGAGGTGTTCATGAACCCACTGCTGACAATGAGCCAGGCTGGGGCTCTGTAGCCCCTGGTGAAGCCACTTGGAGCCTTCTGCCTGCCTGCCACTTGCAGTCTGCCTGCCACCGCTAGCCTAGCCTCTGGGCAGGTTCCTGCAGCCCACCAGAGAGCCCAACCTACTTGTAGCAGGTGGCAAAGAGACTGAAAGCATCCGCACTGAAGTCCGTGGAGCCCTGGTCCAGCTCACTCCAGCAGTGGGTGCACATACACCTCGAGGCAGATGGCAGGGAAGGGCAGGGGCTGAACTGCCAGAACAAGGATTGGGGCCCTCTCATCCTCCCTGAAGCATGCGTGCCAGGCAAAATGCTCTCATGTGCCACGCTCTGGTGCACATGTCGGGAGTTGCCTACCCCTGAACTAGAGGCTAGGTCCACAAAGAGACTGGGAGACCAACATGGATGCACCTTACTTGTAGGTGCCTGGAAGAATCCAGAGCCCTGTACAATGCAGTAGGAGAGTTATGCACCTCAGAATGAGATTCATAGTATGCTGAACAGGGAACCACTTAAAACAGTCATGCAAAACATATTTTACTTAAAAACTATCATAAACTAGGAGCACCATACAGTTTAGTTGGAAGGGTGACTGGCTGGGGTCTAGAAAGAGCTGAATTGATCCTAGGTGAGGGTGGTGGGTTTCCACTCATTGTTTTCCCTTCCACTCAGCTTCCTGTCCGATAGGTACCACGAGCTACCTGGGGCTAAAGGTGGCCAGAATGTGGTGTTGACCCCACATCATCTTCTCATGCCAAGGTAAAAGAAACAGTGGAGCCCTGCCTCCACTGTGCTTCAGTGAGGCTTTTACAATCATAAGCAGTATTTGGAGCGGGGACTGAAGCCCAGGTTTCTTCCCACCAAGTGAGTAACCTAACTGCTAAGCTAGGTACCCACACTTATGCTTGCTTTCTTTCCTTGGCTTAGTGCATCTTTAATTGGTCCGGGCAAGGTGGACCCCAAAGAGAGGTATGTGCCAAGCTGCTCAGCCCTTTCCAGACTGAGATGCCTCATGCTCAGAAGCAGGGCTTGTAGGGGTGTGGGTACCTTTAATGTCACAAACTGAGCCACTTATAGACTCAAGGACTGTGCCCAGACAAGTGTGGCTATGTGGTATGTGGCAGCGCAGACACATCTAAGGTGCCACATACCACACGTTCCATTGTTCTCCACACTGCAAAGGAGCAGTGCGGTGGGGTGTTTGTTTGTTTTTTAATTTTGATCCCTGGATATCTCCAGGATATCCAGGGATCACAAAAACCCGCAAAGAAAAAAAGTCGAGCCGCCTGAAGCTGGAGCCTGGCTGGCCGGAGCTGCACTCGGCCACCAGCCAGGCTCCGTGCAGCAGGATTCCCACTGTTGGAGCCCTGGGAGGCCCTCAGGACCCCAGGTAAGGCTGCTGGGGCCAGCCGAGTGCTCGCCCCAGCCTCCCCCTACCCAACCCACCGTAACTTGCCATGTGCCAGCATGCACGTGGCACAGGCATTCCCCGGGGACATCTAGCAGCAGCACAAGGTGCGCCATAGCTAGTTGGTCCCGGGGAACCAAATGTCTGCACATATCTGGACATGGCCAAGGAGGTTGAGTAGGGCTTTAAAGATCTCAGTTTTAGCAATAGGTCCCTAGATCTAGACCCAGATTACCACTTTGTTTTACATACGCCAGTGAATAGTTGTCAGATGGGGATGAGTGTTGGCTGCCGCTGATGTTGGTCAGGCTTGAACTGGAGACTTTGAGGTAAGATGTTCTGTGCCCTATTTCCAACACATCCAATACCACTAAAATGTGAACATTTAACTAGTAAAATATATCCTCTTCTTGTGGCATTATTTGGTATTTTACACTGACTAAATAGGATTGTGCAAGCTGTTTCTGCTGCAATAGGTATAATTTGACAGCTGTATTACAATTTGCTTTAAGCTAAATAAGACTGGGTAACATTTATTTCTATCACTGAAATTCAGAGCTAAACAACAAAGATGAGAAACAACTACTAAAACTTGCCTTTGAAGAGAAGAAAGAAATTGATCAAGAAATCAACACTTTGTATAAGAAGGTGAGCTAAAGGAAAAGGCACTGTCTCTTAAATGAAGGTATCAAAAACTCTTCATTTTAATGTTTTATATAGCCATTTAGTTTTATTGTTCCAAGTATTTTCTTTTTAAATAGTAAGTTATAACACTTGCATTTAATGAAACAGAGGTCTAGTTTCTGCTTTCTTTTTGAACATCCCTGGATATGCTTATTATTAGAAAGTCTCTGTCCTGCCATGTGCATCTTAAAAGCTCTTTATTTTTGACATTTTTTGTTTTCTTACCTGCTTGTCTGCAGACATTGAAAAGGCACTAGGGCAGTGTGCCACTATATTTTGAATACCTGTGTATGGTGTTTTAGCAGTCATTCATGTCAGCAAAGAGTATGCAGACCAGTTTGAAAGGCTTTATCTTCCTGAGACTTTCAATCTTTTATTCTTCTCTTCAATTACATATGGCCAGTATATGGAAATAATTATAAGAGAAGCTTAAAAATCTCAACGAAAGTCATTGTATTGTGAATCAAGTGTCCACAATCTAGATATAATTAAGACGCAGTTTAATATTATAATTAAGATATCATCGAATCTTCTGGTAAAGATCAGTCTCGTCTCCAATTGTTTCATGGTTAGTATCACATTTATTGAACAGCGGGGTCAGTGGAGGCTGAGTTGATGGTTTTAGCATAGCATTGTGGGAGCAAATTTTCACTAGCCTTCACTCCTAACTCTTGTGCACAGATCAGGTGGCATGTGTGCTGAAACTGATGCAACCACAAAAGCTGGCTGTAAATTTGTTCAGGAAGATATGCTGAAACTCTTCCTTTCTTTGCAGCTTTTCCAGATTCTAGTGCCAAAGCACAAACATGATGAATGTGATGTCATATTAGAGCTTGTATCTGGCAGAACAACTGGAGGTCAGCAAAGTCATCACAAGTAAAGATTACTCTCTACCTCTTTCCAGGTTTACAGGGCTTTGTTTCTCTTATGTTTTAATAATATAAAACAGTATTTCTAAAAGATGACTAGTTCATTTATCTAAAGAGAGCACTCTCTCCAGTTACCATATTTAGTTATTACTAAATCTAAAAATAAGTATTTTTCAGGGATATTTCATTAACTTGTATTTCATGATATTTCATCTATTTTTCAGGTGACATTTGCCAGATGTTCACAAAAGAAATATTTGAGATGTACCAGAATTACGCAGAACATAAATCCTGGACCTTTGAAATTCTGAACTATGTTCCTACTGATATGGGTATGTAATAGCTTCTATGTTATATCCCCAAAACAAGTTAAAATCTATGCCTTTTCTGTGTACTCTCTACGCGTTATTTATTTTTACAGGTGGGTTACATCATGCAGCAGCTTGTATTTCGGGAGACAGCGTCTACAGGTATTTGAAGTTTGAATGTGGGACTCACAGGGTTCAGCGAATCCCAGAGATTGGCCTGTCATCAAGAATGCAGCGTATTCACACTGGGACAGCGTCAGTTGTTGTCCTCCCTCAGTCAGAGAAGGTGTGTAAAATAAAACTGAAGTGTTGTCTTGGGCTTCGATCTTGGCATTCGCATGTGTGATCCTGAAAGCCGCAACAGAGTTACTGCTTTTGTTTTCTTGGCGCTGAAATATGTCTCGTAAGTAACAAACAATGATTCCTCATGCTCCCCTGCTGTGGAAGGCTGTGAATCTTGGCTCTGCGCTGCCTAGGTGAATCATTACAAATTTAATTGTATCATCCAGAGTAATTTTTCTGACATCCGCTACTGCTTGAGGTAGTGTGGGGATCAAGGACATGAAGTTCATTTTGTTAAGCATTCCAGCCCTCAGCTCTCACAAAAGTGAGTCACTCTGAGTGAAACGATTCTAAATTAATAATACATTGAAGCACGGAGAACATCCAGGAAAATGTTCGGTGTAACCTATTGATGCGAGACTCTGAAAGCTGCCGAATATTCCATTTTTTCTTTGGTGCTTTCTGCTAAATCATGAGCAGTATGATCTGAATTTAAATTAGCTTTAGGCTTGTCTTTTTTGAGAGCTCCTCTAGCCACTTCTTAGCTAACAGAGAGATCTAATCTTTTTCTGCAAACTTTCCTCACTCCTTTGCTACTGCTTTCTCTACAAGCATTTCCAGGGCTTTCCTTTCTATTCACACTACCCAGACTCTGCTCCAGATACTCATACGGTCAGGTCTCCACTGTTGAAATCCCTTTTTGGTCTGGTCCCACTTATCTATTCAAAACAACACTTCAAAAATCTTTCAGACTTGTTGCTTTGACCAGCTCCTCTTTGCATCCCTCCATGTCTTTTCCTAAAAATGTTTTGTTGCTTATCTCTGCCCGACCTGGTCCAGGGACATAAGCCAAAATTTTTAAGGTTGCCAAGCAAACTGTATGCATTACTAACATGACAAAATTTACACTTATGTTGGTACTGTGCTCTGAATAGTGGAATGTAGGCAGTTCAAGATCCTGCTTACACATCTGCTTCTATCAAGGGGACTACTTATGAATAGATATATTCCCAAGTGTTTGTAGAATTTGGGACCATTAGCAGCTGTAACCTAGATCTCACACTCATGTACCAGTGAACCTGATTTAAACTAGTTTCTGGTATCTCATTTGCCTTGGTCTCCCTGCCAGTTGTTGTAGTCTTACAGTAACATTTTCAGCTTTTAATGTTTGTTTGTTTTTCTTCCCTTCCTCCTTCATGCTGGGTAAGCATAAGGAAATGCAAACAATTTACTGTGGATTAAAAGTGGGAATGAGGGTCAGGTACTCTGCAAATAACACACAGGCAGTTAGTGAAGAGTATGTGATGCATAGTAAATTCATGGCCCTTTTTTCCTCATAGTAAGCTATTTGTAAGTCCATCCCCTAAGAATCTTGATCAAGCAAGATAAACTGTTTATATCGGGGATATTGTAGAACTGACTGTACTCAAAGTGCTACAGATGTATGAAATGGACAAACTAAAAAGAAAAAAATAGAATTGTTGGGTTGTTTTGTTTTTTTTAATTTCTTCAAGTCACAGTATTCATGTATGTTACCTGTAATAGTGGCAGGTAAGCAAATTAGGGGCAGAAGTATGTTTAAATTATCAGTATCTCAGAAATGGGTTTCTTAAACTATTACGATGAGCAGAAAGTAGCTTAATTTTCTCTGACCCTAGGTAGAGGTTAAAGTGAACCCAAAGGATTTGCGTATAGATACATTCAGGGCCAAAGGAGCAGGAGGGCAACATGTTAACAAAACGGATAGTGCTGTGAGGATTGTGCACCTTCCTACGGGTAAGCCTGTCTGTGTTTGTACTTCTGACTGCTTCCTTTTTAGCATGTGCATATTTTGTATCCAAAAATGGTAGGCTACTTATCATGGCTACTGGAATCCATCTCCTCAGAACAAGTAGGATGGAGCTAATATGAAGGAGGCAGGTAGCCCTCCTCATTGTTTGCAGGCAGCAGGAGAGAAAAGCGATAGCTATTTATAGTGTGCTGGTCTGTGTGTGTTTGTCTAATATGGCATAGCCAATTTTATCTTTACAATGTGAGCATTTAATAAATGGACCACATTGGGGCTGAGATAAGGAAGAGAAGAGAAGGATGTGATGGAAGATGTCAATAATTCCTGCCAGGAATCAATACCCTCGACTCCCATGAATGGCAATGGCTATTGAGGATGTACCCATCTATGTAGACACAAGACTGCGAAAAATGGAAACTTTCTGTTGAGGTTTTCAGTTGGTAATGGATACACTGATCATGCTTTCTTTTTCATGGATTCATTTTCATTGAGGATAATTGACTACTGTCAGTCATAGTGCTGCTTAAAAGCATAAAAACATGAGAAGTGACCACACTAGGTCAGACCACAGATCAGTCTAGCCCAGTATCCTGTGTTTCACAGGTAGGGTCTGCTTGGAAGCCTTTTTATTAATCTGTGACCCTCACTCCTATCCCTGTTTCTTGTGGCTGCAAGCAATTATTTGCCCTCTCCAGGCAAATTTGCTTATAGTTTTTGTTTATTCTGTGTTTTTGTGGGGGTTTTTGTGGTGGGCCTAAGCCAGGGGCGGGCAATTATTTTGGGCGGAGGGCCGCTTACTGAGTTTTGGCCAGCCATTGAGGGCTGCATGACAGGCAGTGAGGGGCCGCATTTTGCCCACCCCTAGCCTAAGCCCTTGTTTCTTGACATAGCAAGTTGGGAAGCATATACAATTGGGGATTGTATACAAGTAGAGCATAAAAAGATTGATCCTGGTGTCTTGCTCCTTGTGGCAGGACAGGCCCTGGGGCAGCCATGGTGCTCCCTAGAGGCCACCCGAATCCTGTCCACTCTGTCAGTTATGTATATAACCTCCTCTGTTTATCTCACCTGCCATGCCTTATTGTTCTTTTGATATTGATTGGGAGGCTGCCCCTGAGCCTTGCAGTGCTCTCACCAGTGCAGCCTGACTGATCTCTTGTGGTTTCTGGGTCCTCTGCCCATTAGCCAAAACTGCACAGTTCTCTACAGGTGTCTCTTGTGGCAGACATCCTGGTGCCTGGTTGGTACTATGAGCCAATGGTTACCACCTGTGGCCAGACTGGCCCTTAATCAAGGGCTGTAAGGCTTAAATATGACCTCCAGCCTCCCCCATAGCCATGCCCATGCCTTACGGGTATCACTCAGTCACCATTTACCTTCCTGTATGGGCTTCGGCCTTCCTAGCCTTAGCCTACAGGTTACTTTGGCTGCAGACTGGTAGCTTAGGTCCAGTGTCTCTGGCCTGGCGTTTTAGTCTCAGCCTTCCATTGGCCTTTGGCTTCCCTCCACTCAGGCCTTGGCCCTCTTGGCTTCCAGCCACCCCAGTTGACTACTCTGGGCTCAGGCCCTGGCCCTCTTGGCCTCAGCCTGCTTCTGTCTCATACCCCTATCCCTCGCAGGGCTAAAAACTTGGTGTACCCCTCCAGCAGCCCTATTGGCCACACCCAATCCTCCAGTATAAAACTAAAAAAAAAATCCAAGCAACTGCTTTAAACTCAGACACTCAAAGCTACTGCTGTGGGTCATCAAACCACTGCCAAGCCACCTTCCCCACTCACTGGCTCTCTCAGCCCTGGGAGTATCCGACATGACCTGCAGCACCCACTTCTCACCAGCCTGAGCTGGCTGGAAATCTTCTCCTTGGAGAATTCAGGGTTGCACTCCTCTGCCTTGGGCAGCCAGGCTTATACCCCCTGGGCTCCTCCTCTTCCAGTCAGGAGCTCTCTTGATGGGCTGCAGGTATGTCCCTTAACCTCCAGAGCAGCTTACTGCTGTTTCTCTGGCTGAACTGTAGTAGTGCCCTTGCTACTAGCCCCGCAGTAGGAACTTGCAGCCTATGTATCCCTGGCTGCCTACTCCCCTGCAGCTATCCCAGAATCCACCCTCTTCCCCTAACTGGGGACATACTTGCTATGGCTTCTCCCTTTAAAGTAATAGGAGTCCCTGGCTCCCTGTTATACTCTTCTTCCCCTACAGCTTCTAGTATTTGGAGGCCTAGGAAGTCCTAACTTTGAGCTTGTGAGATTCTAGTGATAGTATGTTTTGTTTTGTTTTTCCTCTAAGCTTTTTTTAATTCCAAAACCAAGTTGGAAATAAAATCATAAAATACATTAGTTTACTCATTCTAATTAGTATATTTTAAAATGAAAGCCCTAATACAATTACCTTAATATTTGTAGTTCTACATTTATGTCTCACTAGTTTTGCTTTCATTTGTTTGTATGTTTAAATATAGGATTTGTTGGTGAGAAGGCTTTGCATTTTTAAAACCTGGAAGCTAAAACATTTCAAACTCATTTGTGTAGGCAGAACAAGCTGCATTTTTAACTTGTGTCAACTAGCTGAAGTGAACTTTGGACTCCCAAAGGCACCACCTGAAGCAACATCATGATTAAATATGGTCCAGCAATCATCATATAAAAATTCCATAGGGGTCACCTGTAGCATCAAAATGTCAGACTGTTCCCATCTATACTAGGCTTCTAGAGTGTAGTTACTAAAATGCTTGGAGCTAGTGAGTATCAAAAAAATACACCATTTGCCTTCGTGGACAGGCCCTAAAAGCAAAAAGAAATAGCTCAAGAAGGTTTAATTTGTTTCAGAATTCCAGGATTAATCTGGTTTGCTTGCTGTTTGGCATAATGGAGCTTTTATCAATTTTCTCTTGAATTTCATAAAGGAGTAACAGTAGAGTGCCAGCAGGAGCGATCACAGCAATTGAATAAGGAAAAGGCTCTGCAGACACTGAGCGCTAAACTGTACCAGCAGATCATTGAGAGGGATCGAAGCCAAATGCAGAATGCCAGAAAACTACAGGTGAAAACATGTTTCTATCACTGACTTGTATTACTGTGCTGTACGTGGGGGCGGGTTCTGGTTTTGGCAAGTGACTATAAAAAGCGTGTGTGTGTGTGTGTGTGTGTGTATGTACACACATGGGTGCACATGTGTTTAGGCTAGTTTTATATAAAGGAGTGCATACCCAAAAGAGAGAATCACATGTTGTAATGCTAAGCAGGGATCTGAGTTTCATGTATGCCAAGGCCAGTGCATGCTGCTCTGACAATGAACAGAGCCTTAACATAGCTGATGTACAATTGTAATTATACAAAAGCTAAGAGAGCTTTGTGTAATTAACGCCCAGGGTATGGTCCCTTTGGCAGGAAGACATTTTTATGTAAATGAGAATTGGGCCCAACAAGTACTGAGATTCACTTTCTAAATTGTTCTAAAATGGAGTCACTGATAGGATTCCACTTGCAC